AGTTTTTGTACTCTAGTCTTGAATTGGTTATGTTGATTAGAAGAAGCTACTTGTTCATCATTATCGATAAGATAATAAGCAAAAGCCCTTCAAAAATTATGTTTAGGGCAACTGTGTCAGCCGCAGCTGTCATAAATAGGGTATCGAATTTTTGGTAAGGTCATAAATAGGGTAGGGAAATCGCGGATTTTGGTCATAAATAGCGTAAGGGTTTTGGGAAGTGGGCCGCACACTCCCACCAAATTTTTCTGAGAGTAGTCCCCGGGCTTCTATCAGCTTCTTCTATGCTGTCTCTTACTTGTGGCGTTACACGACACGATATCCTTCTCCAGGATCTGACTAACCAAGGCAATAATTTCGTTCGTGGAGAAAACTGTTTGTTACGTACCTGAAACAGGCTAAGCCTTTTTTGAACGAACGAACGAACGAACGAATGAATATATTATATGTGACTCCGCGCTTGTAAGCATATAAATTTAACTTTCAAATCTTTCAGCCTCTCACCTCTTACAATATAAACCCCGCCACCACTAAAAGGGTATAAAATGCTCTACTTCTTCAGCATAATGTTGCAAATTAACAAACTATCACAATGAACCTCATAATAAAACCTTGGATTTTGTTTAGTTGGCTTGTCTTTAAGAAAACTTTCATTTAATTCTCCTTGTGTCAACATGACCGTCCGTTGAAAAACAAAGGAAAATGCCACATGGACTCGATCGTTACTACAGTAACATAAGCTCAATTAATATTCTGGCGCCATCGATAATTAAAACGAATCCTTCGCTGCCTGGTTAACATACCCTGGAAGAATCATTGCCAGGCGTCCTTCATTTTCCCTGGCAAATATATCCAAATATATTCTTTTTTTGACTTTTGGCGTGGAGCCGTAATCTCCTGAAAGATTTGATGTGTTCCGGCTATGCTCGGTGAAAAACCTTCAACGTACCTATCTTGCGGTACAATCACGGTCTCGCTCCCTCTTCGCCAGGGAAACTGAAGAGCTGAGTTAAAAGCCATCAGACTGTACACACAAGAGATTCTGCACCGTTTTCAAGTTTGACCTCATCCCAATGATTCCTCCTCGGAAAGGTAGGGCCTTAAGAAAAATTACAT